GTTGTTGGCCTTTCTTCACCTAATGTCTCGGTGAACTTGCTCAGGAACTGCCTGAGCCGCTCGTCCGGCAGGCTGGGCAGCAGTGGGGGAGGAGCTCCAGACTGCCGGAGCCGATCTGCGATGCAGGGAGGGAGGGAGCTCTGCTGTAGGGGGAGGGGGGAGGGGGAACCCTCTCTGGCTGAGTGCCGGAGCCCCATGTAAGTGACACCACCCGGCCGGCTGCACTGTTAGCCGCGCGTGCTCTGCATGGGGGGGAAGTCCAGACATTTACAAATTCCCCCGATGCTATTTTTAGCTTAAAAAGCCGGACATGTCCGGGGAATCCGAACAAATGGTAACACTAACACGCTGATCCATGCTCTCGGCCGCTCCATTAGTCTCCCCTTGCTCGTGGCCCTCCAACCCCTGCCCTCCCCCGAGAATTCAAAATGGCGGTGGGCGGAGCTGCTCAGGACAGGTACAGAACCAGGCCGCGGGAAAGCCAAGCGGGGATTGGCTAGCTCCGCCCCCTCCCTCTGCTAGCCCCATCTCGCCTGGTTAAACGCTTCCCCCGTCGGTCGCTCTCTCACCGCCGATTGGCTTCTCTCGATAGCGGGCGGGGACAGTGAGCTGCTGGGGGGCGTGGCTGGAAAGGGAACAGCCGCAACAGAGGAGAGAGGAATAGCGTCAGCAGTGGGGGGAAGAGACGCGTGTAGGGAACAGCAGACCGAGACTGCTCCCGCGGCGGAGGGGGAGCGGCGCGAAGGGGAACAGCTGCAGGAGAAGGGGCGGGGGGCTGTTAGAACGTGACTGTTCCAGGAAGCGCCCGGTGGTAGCTGCCGAGCAGCGCGAGCCCCCTTGCTGCCGCCGCCGCCTCTCTGCCTGCAGCCCGGCGGGCTGTGTATGTCCCGGGGATGGGGGGGCCTGCTCCCCGCTGGGGGTGGCTCCCTGCCGGCAGGGGCTGAGACGCCGCACCCCTGCTGAGCGCCCCGGGCCAGGCGGAGAATGGACCAGCCCCCGGCTGCCCCTTAGCTCCGCAGCCGCCGCTTTGGGGAGGGCTGGGCATGGCCCGGCTTGAGGAGAGCAATGGACGGCAGAGCTACCCAGGTAAAGTCCAGCCTGGAAAGTTTTTCTCCTCGGGGGCCGGGGTGGCAGGAGAGTGTGACTCTGCCCGGCGCTGAAGGGGAAATGTGCGATGACACCTTTGCTGCTTGCCAGCGCGGTAGTGGAAACCCGGCATGGCCAGGAGCAGAGGCGAGTCAGGGCTACGTTACGGCGGCTCTGCGTTAAAGGCAACCCGAATGTGCCCCTGCGAAACTTCCCTCCCAGACAGGTTCAGCAGGATCCCTCCGAGTGCTCGGCGATTTCTCTGCCTGCCCCCAGTCACCGCCAAGCTGCTCCAAGCCTCGATGGGTGGGGCTTGGGTTTGTCAGCTGGGCCCGTGAGGCGCCGGCTTGGGTAGCCACTCACTGTCCCCTCCGCTTTCGCTTGAGAGTCATACTTCCCAGATTCTCTCAGGCCGCTCGGTGAGGTGCCTTCTGGCGCTCCTCAGTTGTTTTCAGTTAGCAAGAGGGAGGTGTGGGAAGAGAGAGAACTAGTTGATGCAGCTGCTCGAAAAATTTCAGACCAAACTTTTTTTTGGGGGGGGGTCAAAAAATGGTACAAAGAAACAGTTATGAAAAATTGTTCAACTTTCTGAATTTTTCATGCAACCCTTCAAAAAAAACCCCCACAAGAACGTTTTTGAGAAGCGGCAAAACTGAAACTATGAACCCTGTCATATGGAGGCAACAATGGTTTTCCACAAGCTCAATTGGGCTTCAGACTCAATGAACTGGTACAGTTCTAGAGAGTGCATGGGATGTTGTTAACGTGGTCTCTTCTGATATAAGGCCTGTCAAAGTGGCAGTATTCTATTTGTTTTCAATATTATTGTAAAGAGCTGTACATTACTCTTAGAACAGAGGTTTATTATAACACTGATTCATTCAAACTGTTTGATTATGAGGGAAGAGGAGGAAGTAGTTTTAAGTTATTTAAAAGCCCTTGCTCACTATCCCTTTCTCCAACCCGTACCTGGACTTGTAAAAGTTCATGGAGTGTTGCTCAACAGCAAGCTGGTTTGTGGGAGGGGTTTGGCTGCGGTGGCAGAGTTAAAATTTACTTAGGATTTTCCATTTAAAAAAAGTAAATTTCTTCCATTAAAGTTTTTGCAGTGATGAATGCATCCTAGACATGTTATGTTAAAGTTAAAGGGATTTTTTGTTACTGGCAATGCTGTGGTATTAACCCGTTTTCCTTCAGGTCTGCTTTTACATTCTGTTTGCCCAAAATTGCATGCTTTTCATGCATATTGATTTCCTTTTACACAGTTTAAATGTATGCTGATATCATTTGCAGTAGAGATTTCTAATATTATGTACATGAATCTGACATACTACAGCCATTTGCCCAGAGAGTGTTTTTGAAGCTCTTAGAGGAAACTATAACGTAACCACTTTGCAGTTCAAAGATTGTATTGGTCCTAAAATACAATGGTCATTTAATTTTCAGGCAGGAGTAATGGAAGTGACTATGCAAGATGACCCAAACTCTGTCTAGTTCTTCGGGGCTCCCAAAGCAATATACAAACATTAATTCTTTGAGTACCATTAGGAAAACATGAACCCTGTTCTGTAGATTGGAGATGCGGGTCAAAACAAGAAAGTTAAGTCACTTTCCCAGAGTTGCAAAGCAAATCTGTGGCAGAGCTAGGACTAGCGAACCCAAAAGACTTGACTGCATGTTTCCTGCTTTAACCAGTAGGCTACTATTTAATGGGATTTTTACTCACGAAAGCTTATGCCCAAATAAATCTGTTAGTCTTTAAGGTGCCACCAGACTCCTTGTTGTTTTTGTAGATACAGACTAACACGGCTACCCCCTGATACATATTTAATGAGATGTTGCATTGCTATAAGAATTGTCTTGTTCAGCAGTAAAACTGTGCCATTTGCAGTATATGGCATGAGAGAACTAGACTTGTGATGAGATGTAGCCCTAACAGTTTGCCATGTTGATCATAAATTAATTAGGAGTAAAGTCAATATTGGGAATAGCATTAGCAACAACCCTTGGAATTGTCAGTATCCATTTCCAGACTCTTTATTTATCAGATTCAGAAAACAAACGTCCTTTCACTATATTAAAACAAACAAACAAATAAATAACCTGGGCACAGGCATAATAAACTGAATACAAGTTCCATATGTTTTTGGTTTTTTACTGACCATTTGATACTGTCTGTTGCTTTAATTTATATAATGTACAGCAAATGTATGACGTTCTGTAGCTTTCTGCTGTATAAAACATTAAAGAAAATTGTAGTTGTATGTACTTCTGCATTTACAGATTGCATATTTAAAGCAACTCTTCCTGTTATGTTTCCTGCGTAAAGAAAGAAATTTTTAAACCAAGTCAGAACAATTGCGCTGTGCTGTGTTGAAACCTACTTTGATTCCTCTGAGAATCAATTTACCAATTGACAACTGTTCATCCGCCTCTTGAGCTACTATATTCTCTTGCTTTCAGCAAGAACGCTTATTTGTAAGTATCCTGAGAAGAACCAAATGGTGAAACTGGACTAACAGGTCACTTTCACTTTGCTGCTGTTTGACAAAGCACTAAGCAGCAGCAGAGGCAGACATTTGGGCCTTGGCTACACTTGCGCTTCACAGCGCTGCCGCGGCAGTGTAGTCACGCAAGTACTCCACCTCTCCGAGGGGAATAGCTTGCAGTGCTGCGAGAGGGCGTGCAGCGCTGCAGGCGCTGATTACACTGGCGCTTTACAATGCTGCGCTCAGGGGGGGTGTGTTTTTTCACACCCCTGAGCGCAGCAAGTGCAGCGCTGTGAATTGCTAGTGTAGCCAAGGCCTTGGAGTTATTCATTGGGGAAGAGGGCTTAAACACATAGCTTGGCGGACATACTGCAGAGACATCCCCCTGTATCAACCAGAAAGTTGAGGGAAGGGTAGAATAGTGAGGCTGTCTCCCTGTCCTTGCATTGCAGCAGCCTGGAGAGCTTGTGGAGTGGTGAAGTAGCAGAAATTTTCTACCGAGATAGGAGAGGGAATCGGAGAGAGAATGACCAAAATATGGGGGCTGATCGGGAAGGAGGAGCTTCACATGTATCAGATCAGCTAGTCGGAAGATGCTGTTTTTTTTTTTTTAAAAGACTGGGGGAGAGAATTCAAAGCAGAGTATAGCGTCAGTGCTACTCTTGGAATCTCAATGCCTTCCTCATTTCCCAGCAGAATTGGGGGAGAGGGTTGATCATGTGAGTTTTGCCCTGGACAAGGGGACCGTTCATGTTGGCCTATGGTTAGTAGGTTTAATCATTTGGCTTTCAGATGTCTGGTTAAGTTTCTCAGCATAGTGTAGCTGCATGGATGGGTATGAGTTAAAATATGATTTGTTAATTAAAGGGGAAAATGTGTGTGTACATACTAAGGAGAAACTTTTGTGCTGAGAAATAAGGAGAGACTAATATATAGGTGAGATGAGACTATAAGGATGTAGGGAAGAGAAGAATAGTGAAGATCTATTCTAGAAAAGAAGAAAAATTGAAGTGGGACCATTTAAAAAAATAAAATAAAAAGGTTTAATTTAAGTGAGAAATGTAGTAAGTAGGGCTGATCAAAAAGAACTGATAAATACCAGAAAAATCAAAATATTGTCTTAACTTAATTCACAAATGTTACTTAGTGGTATCAAGCCATCTTTATAGCTTGTTCAATGCTAGAATACTAGTGAAATTAATCAAATGTATTCAATAAACTTGTTTTTCAGCTATTAAGTTGCTGGTCCTTGTAGTTTTTAACATATTAAAATAGGAGGTTGGATATGTTGCAATTAGTAGCATACAAACAGTGTGTGACTCTTAGGGCATGGCTATACCTGCAGATGTAGAGCGCTTTGAGTTAAACCAGCCTTTGTAGAGCGCAATAGGGAAAGTGCTGTAGTCTGTCCACACTGACAGCGCACTGGCGTGGCCACATTAGCAGCTCTTGCAACGGCCACAGAGAGCAGTGCATTGTGGTAGCTATCCCAGCATGCAAGTGGCTGCAACGTGCTTTTTGAATGGGGCTGAGAAACAACAGACCTCTTCCCTCTCCCCTCCCCCCCGCGCCTCTCTCTCTCTCACGCAGCATTCCACAGTAATGGTTGCTTTGTCTCAGAACAGATAAACATGCCAGCTGTCAAACAGAGCTTTCAAAGGGCATATGACAAGACGTTTTGGGATGTTTCCGGCGGCTGATCAGAGCACAGTAATGCAATATTTCATTTACACTGACACTGGGGCGCTCCAGCAGGGGCGCATCAAACGTTATTCTACTTGCCGAGGTGGAGTACCAGGAGCCATGGAGTCAGAGCGCGCTATGTGCCTTGCCAGTGTGGATGGGTAGTGAGCTAGTGCGCCTGGGGCTCCTTTAATGCGCTGTAACTCGCAAGTGTAGCCAAGCCCTTATTCTTTAAATTGCGGAGGATGTGACTGTGGGAGGCAGTGTGGCAATGTGTTTTTTGATCCAATCTACTAGTTTTAGGGTGTATCCATGTTAGGAAGAAGGTGTGTTAATATGTAGTAACTCAGGTAAAATCTTAGTGAAGGCAAGGCCCTATGTAGTTCTCACACATTAGTAGGTCAAGATAAACACTAGGGAGTGGGATCCTTACTATTATACATTACTAGTGGGTATGTCTAGTGTATAAGCACTACACTGGTGCAGCTGCGGCACTGCAGCTCTGTGGCTACAGTGTAGACACTTGATACAGCCATGGAAGTGGTTTTCCCATTGCTATAGTAAATCCACCCCATGGAGGTGGTAGCTACGTTGATGGAATAATTTTTCTCTCAACCTAGTGGTGTATACACCAGGGCTTAGATCAGCTTAATATGTCTTAATTCACATCCCATAGCAATGTAGCTAGTTGTACCTAAGTTTTAGCTGTAGACCAGGCCAGTGTTAAGAAGTTAATACTACAAGTGTCTTGTCTTTACTAGTATTTTTCCTCATGTTCGTTATCTTGCGCTATCTTTTTTTAAAAGGTAAGAATACAGCTTGTTTCCAGGTGAAGACAAAGGCATTAGTCTTTGGGCTAGTAGGACTAGGCTAATCTTTTCAAGCCCTGACAATACAACAAAATAGCCACAATAACCAAGTCTTGGGGAAGGCACAGGACAGGTTAACTCCCACAATCTTGGTAATATTCACTTTTGTCTCATTTGACTGACACATTAGCCTATTAAATATGATGTCCTATAGCAAAAGGAATGGCCAGTTGATGCATTGGTTGATTTGAATGTATAAAATTTAGTTGGCTTTTAGAACTTTGGGAATTTTCTTAAAGTAGCAACTGTTCTTTTTAAAATGCAACTAAACAAATGATCTCTATAAAAGAAAGACAGGAAAAGCCTTAAGTGTTGACCTATACTTAAATGACAGCAACATGTTGTATATAAAAGCTGGGTGGACTAGAAAGAAACAAAATTGATTTGCTTAATAAGTTAAGTTTAAGTTGAATGGCATAAATATTTCCTCACGCAGTTGATATTTTCCCAGTGGATGTCAAGAAATCGACAAAAGAATGCAGCTTAAATTTGGGCCAAGGCTTAAATGTTGTAGGGAAAAAAGCTTTATAACAGCCCCAAACCAATAAATATTCAATGGACAAAAACCACATTAAATTAAGATTGGTTGGTAGTATGTCATCCCCATGCAGAGCATTGAATTGAGCTAAATTCAAACATCTGAAAACTAGGAAATGCAGAGCTAAGGTTTGCCATGCAACTTTAGCTATGCCCCATTAACACACATTCCTTTACTCTTTAGCAACTGTGAGGTTGGCAAAGGAGGTGAGGAGCTTGTACAACCCATTCACTCTCACCTACAGGATTCAATCTAATGCTATTAAAAGACAGAAAGTTGTAGGGAGATTGCATACGCATACCTTCCTGCTGTTCCCTTGGAGCTGGCAGTAACCAGTGGCAATTTATTTGCATATACTCTAGGTGCAGTCAGTATGTTAGGGCATGTCTTCACTGGCAACGTTAAAGCGCTGCTGCGGCAGTGTTTTATTGTGGCTTGTGTAGTCGCAACATAGCGCTGGGAGAGAGCACTCCCTGTGCTCTAAAAAACTCACCTCCACAAGAGGAATAGGTGAAAAAACACCTCCATGAGCGCTGCAAGTTTCAGTGCTGTAAAGTGCCAGTGTAGACAAGTCCTTAGGTGCACCTAAGTTAAGTGGTGGAGGCAGTAGTTGGGTCTTCTTGGGAAAGGTGTGTTTGGAGTATGTAGGGGGTTGGTGGTGCACTGTCACAGGTAGGGAGTGATTACACCCCCCTCCCCTGACTAAATAGCCACTTATTACTCTCAAACTGCAGCAACCTCCAGCCACTCTGTTCAAAACTCCTTTTGTCTTAGGTGGGGTCTTGGGGTTAATTTATCCTTAGATATGTTAAAGAAGGGTGAGTTCACAACCATCAACAGGTCTGTGATTCATCCAGTTGTTAGTACCTCTCAGTTTAATGATACAAAGCAGCAGAAGGAAATTGGTTTTTTTTGGAAGGGGTCTCTGTAACTTGGAAACCCCTAAATTAAATGACCGCAAATTTGCATTAGTTAGGCTGCCCTGTGCCTCCATGAGGCTCACCAAATTTCAAAGCAATCTGAGTAACTATTTGGATTGTAGCACACTTACAAGAATCGAGATTAAAGCATATAAATTGGCAGGAATGGAAACCCTCTAGCTGTTTTTCTGTGCAGTGTAAAAACAAACAAACAAAAAAAAACCATTTTCCTAAATAGTCTCAAATTCGTTCCCCGGAAGACTTAGTGGGTGCCATGCACTATCTTGGGTAAAACTTGACAGTTTAAGACCACTCTGACCCAGATCACATAAATAGTTTGCTCTTTAGCTCTGGGCAAAAACAAAAATCCTGCCTAGAAGCTTTTTAAAAAATGGCTGGGGGAGGGAGGCATATATCTCCAGAATCCATAGATCTCAACTGACTCCAAATTTGGATCACTAAGCCTACCCTGCACCCTCCTGAAGCATACCAAATTTAAAATAAATCCGTTTATGTACATTGATCTGAGAGAATTGAAAAGGTCCACCTTATACCAATGTCGTGATGGAACTTAACTAAGTGAGACTCCTGTGTCGCTGTAAAGCTTTCTTGACACCTTAAGATTCCATTGAAAACACCTTTTGAAATCCCCATCATGGAAGCACTGAAAGAGAAACTGACACTGCTGAATTTTCACTTTACATGCTGAGAGAAGTATACAAAGTAGAGTATAAGTAATGACAAGGAAGTAGTTTTTAAGAAAAAACTTGTTCACTTCTAGTGACCTAAATTGTTATAAACAAACTGCTTTAGGTTGTTACTAACATATGATTCAGTTACCAGTGCCCCTCTACCTCAGTTACTTGGTTTATTCTTTGTGTATGATTTTTCCCTAGGTACTGTGTGACAGCTACATGATAGTAATTAATTCTTTAATAAGAGATTTTTTGAAGTGTTTAATAAAAACAAAACTGTTCTTTCCTTTTACTAGTTACCAATTGGACCAAGATGACTGATGTAAATGTATCCAACTCCTTAAATGGTTTGAGTTTGATGGGAATTCTGGACACCAAAGTGGGCAACAGTATCCAGAATCTTCAAAACTTGAATTCAAGGGCTCCGAGAGTGCTCTCTTTGCCTGAGTATGGACCTAGCCAGCACTCTAGTGCTTTAGAAGATAGCCGTAGCCTTAAATCTGTAGATTCTGGTATTCCAACTCTAGAAATAGGGAATCCGGAGCCTGTTCACTGCAGTGTGTTAAATGTGAAGAGAAAACAGTCTGAGTCTGAAATCATGCCCGAGAGAACTTTTCAGAATGCATGCATGCTGCTGTCTTATGTGCCTCCACTTTCTTTGAATGCTGAACATGAACACAATGTACGAAAATCCTCAACTTTTCCAAGAACTGGATACGACACAGTGAAACTATATAGTCCAACTTCCAAAGCTCTGAACCGAAGTGATGATATCTCTGTCTGTAGTGTGTCTAGTCTCAGCACAGAACTGTCAACAACTTTATCTGTTAGCAATGAAGACATTTTGGACTTCATGGTCACAAGCAGCTCAAGTGCAATAGTGACCCTGGAGACTGATGAAGCGCAGTTTTCAGATGTTACACTGAATTCCACTAAGGAGACCAATGATCAAAGCCAGCAGGCGTGTTGTCAAGAAGCAGATGTGGACAGTAAGTTGAAAATATTGGGACCCTTCACTAGCTTCTTTGCCAGGTAATGGGATTTTGATACTTAAGAAAAAAGTTACAGCATTCTGACTATGTATTGGGGGCTAGGAGGTGCTTAAGGGGTTTTATGGTAAAGAGTTACACCTTCAGCTAACAATGCTAGTTCCTCTGGGTATGAAGATTACTGCCATCTTTCTGCTCTGCCTGAGTAGGCCAGAGCTGCGCATGGCTGAAACACTGCAGTGGGTAAGGTTCTATGCTCTGTGGTTGGGATCCAGAGAAGCTTGAACTCTGCACATGAAGTGAATGAAGGTGGAACTCTCTTCTTTGCAGCTGTGTTTAAAGGGGGGAAGCAAGGTTCTGGGGGAAAGGGCTCTGAACTGGACCCCAGGAGATTTGGATTTTCTTCCTGGCTTTGCCATTGACTTACTGTATGACCTTGGATAAGTCATTAAACATCATATGCCTTGGTTTCCCTGTCGGCCAAATTAAGAGGATACTTGCCCACTGTTGTAAAGCACTTGGAGGTCTAGGAATAGAAAGTGTTCTAGCAGTGCTAAGTATTTTAATAATATTAAATGTAAACACATTCCACTTAAAGTCGAAATATTTGTCAAACATTTTAATTTTGTTTGACTTAAGGTCATCAGTTCACTGATAAGGTGACAAATGACTAAGGATATGATTTAGTCATGGATTCCATGACTTTAATGAACCTCCATGACTTCTTCAGCTTCAGCCTCCCCTCCCTCCCCCCTGCACAGGGCTCAGACTTCAGTCCCCCCAGTGGTCAGCCCCCACCTCCCTGGTTATTTTTAGTAAAAGTCGTGGGCTTTTGTGAATTTTTGTTTATTGCCTATGACCTGTCCATGACTTTTATTAAAAATAACCATGACAAAATCTTAACCTTATGACCAGTGGTATTTAGACTGCTCATCTTTGCTATCAAGATTAGGAAACTATACTGTTGACCACCTCATTTGCTTGTGTCTTCATAATGGGAAAATGCCAAGACCAGAAGTAGAATGTGGAACTTGAGCACTTATAGTAATTATTGAAATGGCAACATCTGGGGCAGCACTGAAGCAGTTACATTTTTGAAAGGCTGCCCTGGCTTCCTACATTAAAAATAATGTATTTAAACTGATATTTCTTATCAAGCAAGCAGAGCTAGTACACAAACATCATGTGTGCCATCCTGAATAATTCTTTTGTGATGAGGTACGTTAGCTAAGATCATTTTTGGAGCAAGTTGTCTAGTGCAGTGTCGAATTCAAATCAGTTATTGATTGGAAGTTATTTCTGTGTTCTGCAGCTTTGGCTATAAAAAGCCTGTTTTGCCTATCTGATTATTTCAATGAAACACTTACTCTTCTTTATTTAAACTTCTCTATTTGCCAAAAGAAAAGACTAATGAAACACTGACAGAACAATCATGTCTGTTACTTCTCTGAAAGAGTGTCTTAATGGGGGGAAAAAGAAACAAAAGCTGTTGATTTAGAACTATTAAACTGACTCTAAATCACAGCTTAGAGAACAATGTCTTAACAATAAAATAATTTTCAAGTTCCAGTATAATTGAGTACTCCACTATGTGTATGTTTACACTGGAAACTTCAAAGCGCTGTCGTGGGAACGCTTTGAAGTGCGAGTGTGGTTGCACGCAACCTCTCCCAGCGCTTCTGGTAATCCACCTCCACGAGGGGATTAACGCCAAGTGCTGGGAGCATGGTCCCAGCGCTCAGGGCCTGTCTACACTAGCGCTTTAAAGTGCTCAGACTTGCTGCACTGGGGTGATTTTTCACACTCCTGAGCCAGCAAGTTAGAGTGCTATTAAATTTTAAATAGTTTGCTTTAATAGTTAAATCTGTATTTAATTTACATTTTATTTAAATTTTTAAATCTTTTTAAAAGCACAGTTTTATCCACCCTGGTTTGAAAGCAAAACTGACACCTTTTGGTATTCCCTAAAAGGGAAATATTTTTCAACAAAGTACCATATCGTGTCTAGCAGGTAACTTCTGGCACTGAGTGATACCACCAGGAGTGCATATGAGACTCAGTTCAGCATAGAAGCTAAGTAATCCGTTTGTCTACTGTTCTTATTCCTTCCCTTAACTGGGGGTAGCTTTCATGCGGCTCAGACAAGTAGAAACCTTTTGAACTTGTGTCCGCTTCACCTGAAAGAACCCTGAAAACCTTATTTACTAGTTGGATCATAGATGTTGTTCAGGATTGGAACTTGCTGTCACTTGCCTCATTAGAAATTGTCCGTATGGCCTTGTGTCTTTCACACAGCATTCCTGTGTGCACATATAACCTATTTGTCCACTTCCCAGGTCTCTCAACCGTATTTCCCAAGCACTTAATGTTGTAAGTCATGCTTTTGTAGGCACTTAGACACACAGTTCCTTCTTTATTTTTCTTTTTATGTAACTATATCTAATGAACCTGCAGAGTTTTTAAACCTTGGTGGAACTACGTCAATGAGGCATTCCTTTATATGTGGGCTTGGAAAAATCAACCTAACAGCAAGATCTTGTACTAGTGTAAGAATGGCACCCTGGTGCTAACTTTCCTCTGTTCCTCACAGTGCAAAAACACATGCTACCTTGGAGACCACGAATATTGAGGCATCTGTTAGAGGTTCTAGTAAGTGCTTGCCTTGGAAAGATTCTGCTCCACAGCTTCAGTTCTTTGTTTCCTTTGAGATTTATCCTGTTCTCTGAGAAATAAGAGAGAACTGTTGAAGAGACTCCATTTTATTCAGTTAATTTGCTGGGAGTCGTGAGGGAGTATCATGTATTTCTTGTACAGGGTAGGTTGCAGGGCCTCAACTTGCAGGTCAGGCTTCTGTATCAGATATGGACTGACTACAGAGCTTCCTTCTCAAAGAGAGATACCATAGATGTGTCTTCCATAAGGTCCTTTTATGTACTGCCAGGTATGGGTGGAGTTTACTTAAATAAGTACCTGTAAGTGGCGCACAGTAGTGCTACCTACTGTCTGAACAGCATAATACAGTTCAGCATTCCATTACAGGGAGAGTGAGAATTTGTACCTCTGGCTGTTAAGTCCTGGGTGAAATTTGTTTGTTTCTGTAGATATCACTCCCCTCTTCACCAATCTGAATTTTCAAGTAACTGCATTTTAAATTTGCAACTATTGTTCTGTGGAAGGACTCATTGGTCCACACCAGATAAAGCACAGGTGCAGTAGTTAACAATGGCCAGAAGTCTAGGGGCCCTAAATCCATATGGTAGCACAACTTCAGTATCATTGCAGCGATTCTAGTGGTTTAAAAAAAAAAAAAAAAAAAAAAAACACGAGAATGCCTTCAGTATGGAATTACTTCTTTTTCTGAAGCTGTCATTTGAACTCAGCATTGATGGGGACCTGTAGTAGTAAAAGTTTGGTTAGTGATGTGTAAGACTACAGTTTTGTCATGGATGTTTTTAGTAAACGTCAGGGACTGGTCACAGGCAAAAAATAAAAAATCACCAAAGCCATGACTGGTCCCTGACTTTTACTAAAAATATCCATGACAAAATTGTAGTCTTACACATCACTAACCAAA